AAACTGAGTACAGACGGGGTTTCCGCTTGGTGTATTGTATTATGAACTGCGTTGTTGCTGTCCTCATCTAGCCCATGTAGCCGTGTAGTCGCACGTTTCTCTGACCAGTGGGCGCGCGCGCATTTTCATGCCTCCTCAAGTGCCCATAGAAACACGGAGACGTGTTGTGAGAATGTCGATGGGAGGCACGACGCAAAGGGATATAGCAACAACAGTCGAACAGTCGAGGTTATACAGGCTACCGTCAATAGGATTGTGAACGCATTCCAAGAGGAGGGGCGTATCGGTGATGCACTTCGACATTGCAAGCGCCCGGCCCTGCTTTGCTACGGAGCAGGGGCAGTGTGCCATCAACGGAATAGCCTAGCAGACGACGCTCCCGCCAGAAAGGGCTTTGTGCGCACGCGCTTAATCTCTCTAGTTTCGCCGCACGCCTCCGCGGCACGGCGCTGGCCGTCCCGGCGGTCGACGCTCGCTTGATATTACTAAAAAATTGGGCCACTACACATAACGCGGATGTAAATGTGCGCTCTGCGAGTGATTTTTTCATTAAAATTTGTCTATATTCGAGAGGTATTCCGCGTGCCGCCTGAACCGCATGAATGGTTGCGAATACTTGATGATTTGGTTTCCTTAAACGCTTTTAACGTACTCGCGGCAGCTGCGCTTGGCTGACGCGTTTTAACCTTTTGTGGATATCTGTATGTGGTTGCGACGCTTGTGGTGCTTGTGTCAAAGCAGGTAATAGAGGAAAATAAAGTAGTCTGGCTTGGTGGTCAGGTGTCTGCCTCATACGAAGCGGACCCCGGTTAAATCCATAGTTTGAGCTTACTTTTTTTTCTCCAACATCTAATTTTGTCAGGCCATTAAACGATATTTAGTTTTTTTTGTTTTTTGTTTTTTGCTATTAACACTGAAGAAGGTTTGAGGTACACCTAAGCACTTTTTATGAGTTCTGAACGCGAAAGCATGTGTCGTTCTTGCGCGCGCTTCCTCGTGAATTGGCCGCGCTGTGCTGACGTGAAGCGGCCGCTCTCCAGAGCGGCACGACCGACTACTTTTTCTCGCGCTGGCGGTCTGCCCAAGTGCGCCAGGCGATTGCTTGTACCGGCGCGCTGGTGGCGCGGGCACGCAGCGCCATGGGGTGGCCCTCCTTGAAACTGACGCGCAGCGGCCAATGGGAGCCTCTTTCTTTGAAACTATGACGCTTGCCAGCCAATGAGACCGCAGTGGAAATTCATCAGATTTCGGGTCCAGTGCACTCAATTGGGAGCGGTAAAACTGGGTGCCGTTTGGCTTGGCTTTTCCTGCCGATTCAAAGCTGGGAACCAGCAGATGGCGGCTTCACTTGGAGAAAGGAGTTAAGGTGCGTCTGGCGCTGCTTCACAGCTGATGACGTCGGCTCGCTCCGTGGGACAGTTAATGCTTTCGCATTAAAAAACGAATGTTGTCAGCGGAACTTCGCCGAATTAAATGGAATGGGACTTCCTTTTCGGAGGTGCATGGAGGACAGTGGGGCTTGGGTAGCCGGCTGGACGCCGCGAAGCGGCTTGTAAGGGGGGTGCCAAGTAGGTTAATAGTTGTGCAATGAGCAGCCACAGACTGTGGCCGCGAAGCGGCGTGAATGCAGGCGGGGGGCTGGCTTAACACACTCCCCAGTGATACACGCGCCGTCCGTGTCCGAAATCCAAGTTCCCGCGCGTTGTCGAGCAGCCACTCCGGCGTGAGCGCCGTTTCTAGGGTGTCTACCATTGCTAGGGTGTCCTCCTTTCCCTCTTTTTTCCCTCGCCGCGTTGGCAGTTCAAGTGATTAGATATGCGCCCCCGCCCCCTTTGCACGCTTTCTGGATCTGTACCTTGAAAGGCACGGAACCAGCCAACCGACAAACGTGACGTAATTTGCACTCCACTGCTCCCAGTCTAAGACACCAGTGAAGCAACATATGGCATCCTTCGCCTCTTATTGTGTATTGCGCACTTCTTGCCTGCGTAAATCTCGGTTTAAATACCGGAGTTAGTGCAAATTCCTACGCATCAGAAAAACAAAACAAAAAAAACATTTGATCATTTTCTTTTACGATTTGACCGAAAACAACCGACCGCATAACCCCATCGGAACTAAATAAAGAAAAAGCAAGGCAACACTTGGAATAATGCCACTTTCTAAAGCTCCTCATTGCTTCGACAATAAAATTTGGCGCGATGCTAATACAATTTTGTTTATTGATTATTGCAATGGTTTTCTTATGAACTCATTTATCAATTTTACTTTATTTGTCTCATTTTCTATGTCATTCCTAATGGGACACAACCTCGCCATACGCTCAAACGTGTTCCTATTTTGGAATTTTGGGAGTTTGAAGCCATAAGCGTTTCTTTTTATGATCAGCTATCCAGCCGTCAAATAAACGCATAGTTTGCGCCGCGTACGAATCTCCACACTGCAAGGGAATATCGAAGACCAAGTGCTCCTTTTATTTTACCTCACCTTCTTTCTGTTTTACGTGTGCCCCTTTTCGCTCGTGAAAGGCGTCAGCAGACTTGGGAAGTAATCCGTTACAAGTAACCGATTACTTGTACTCCGTTACTCTTTTGTGTAATATTGTAATAGCCACGTTACTTTATTGCGGTAGTAATTTGCGATGTAACTTTGTTACAAAATATTGGTATTTGATTACTTTAATTACTCGGTTCTTTTCAAGAAATGTGAACATAATACAGAAATTGCAGCAATATGAGTGTGCGACCACCCGCTCGACCAAAGCTAAAAAACGAGCCCTCTCGTCCGTGCATGTTTCTGTAATGCATGCAGCCAGACTCTGTTCATGTATAAGCTGACAATGCCTCAAAGCTACATGCACGAGACTGAAACCCATGAGAGGTTGCGCTCACGCTAAAAAGACCCGTTTCAAAAGGGAGCTTTCGTAGATCGGTTCCTTACCTTCGAATCCCCTAGCGGAGGTAGACGCTGCTACTGAGCGTGCGCACAAGTGGATGTGTCTGTAGCACTCCAGGGATCATTTCTGGTCACTGTAAGCTACCGAGATGGCAGGTGTAGTTGTAGCTTTCGCTGCCTTGTCAGCTTACAAGTGAACGGAGTGCACCTATATTTTTTCTCTTAAATACATTGTTTATTTTTCCAATAAGGGACATTATGCGGGCGTATGAGAAAATGAAAGTAGTGTTGCTGAACACTCTTTGAAAACATCCAAATTGTTTCTATTGTCTTCTTGGTAAGTGTACGGGAAAAGTAACGTGAAAGCAATTTGTAGCGTAACGAGTAAAGTAATCCATTAGTGTTCAACAAAAGTAATTTGTAGCTGTAATCTATTACATTTGAAGCTTCTTAATTTTTGATTGTAATCTATTATGTTTTTGCAGTAACGGGTACAAATCTGGCGTCAACCTGCTTCACTTGAAATCTGATTTAAGATATAATGATATACCCAACCGAAATGCCAGTGCCTTAAGGATTTGCAAGACTGCGCAGAAAAATAACTACAAGGATCTCCTGCACTATATTTAGGTTTTGCTGTGACCCAGCAATGCCAACAATAAGCTTTCAACACAGATTTGTTACTAATCATCGATTATACCCCGCCCTTTTTAATCTTAAAGTCTTAACTGCCGAACGCCGAATGTATACCATGCCCGTATCATTTCCTCTGGGCACAGTGCAGCATCGACAATTCCCATTCATCTTCTTAACTGACTTGGTGTGCAACTTGTTAACGATAACAGTGGTTGCAGTTGGTCTTTTCTATACTCCCGGTTCACTCCAGCTACTTCAATTACTCTAAGGTCTAAAGACTGTAATATTCCTCTAATAAAGTTTTAGTTGTAAACTCCTCCCGCATTGAATCTATGAATAAAGCTCAAGTAGAAACTACAAACCAAAATGGCGTCTCAAAACGTTTCCACTTCCTGATTTTGTTAACTTCTATATCTCAACCGCTGGATTGTCCGGCATGCGTAAGTGTATAGTATAAAAAATTGAGAAAAGAAAAACTTTGCGGATGTTTTAATTAGTCTTGCACTCACACTCTTAAAAATATTGTAAAACGTTAGCGAAAGCATATCCCTCTGTGGCCGTTACTATGCTTCCTAATAAATGTATACAACATCCTTGACACCACAGGGTGTATTCGGTTGTTTGTAGCCAAGAAAGTTCAGTAAGTAATATAACTAAACAAGACGGTCGAGCAAGAAATTATGACTTCTGTTGTTGCGTAGCTATGCATAAAAGTTAAAAGCTAACCGCTAGCAAGCGCAGATGAGCAAGAAGTTACATCAACCGTCGCAAATAACTACATGATACACTATTACCTTTTACTACTACATTTATCACTTGGACCGCTTAAAATCAATTCAGGTAAATGACATTAGTGAGAAAAAAAGAAAGTTATTGTCAAATGTATTATTTCTGAGGTGATCATCGTGGAAAGACTAAAAATGGCGGATATAAGCGGGCGGTTTCAGTATTCAATGTAGCGTGCGTTCATGTCCGTTTTTTTCTGGTTATCAGTTTGTTTATGTTATTTTTGTATGAGATGTGTTGAACAAGTTGAGGAAGCGTGCAATATATGTGTAATGACAAGTGTAGCAAATTTTTTTTTCGTTTCTTTGAATTGGGTGATAGCTTCATTCAAGAAAATTATCGAGATGGGTGGCGCTAGCTCAACAAAAAAAAAAAAGAGCGGTTACTAACTTCCTTTGTAGTAACTGTTACCAACATTCCCATTACTACCTGCAGTTACTAAGAGTTTAGTGGCATATGGCACAAGCAGTTGCTATCTAATGCATTATTAAGTACTGCAACATCGTTTTCCTGAAATTTAAGATATATTTCTTGCCTTTACTGAACTTCATTAAATTCCACACATTTCCATTAAGTCCAATCCGCAAAACATAAATTCCCCGCGTACAGCTATAATCAATGCTCAGAATATTTGTGCGAAAGTCGTTTCTCCGTAAATTTCATACATTCTATTTCTCTTACAGGAGGAGTTCCTGTACCTTCGAGACAAAGTGGCAGAGGCGAAAGGTCAACCAGTTTTGATGCGATCCTTGCTTCTTCCCAGCGTGTCAAACAACATCGTAGCGCTGGTGCTTGGCAGCCGCTATGATTTCAACGATCCAAGGCTAAAAAAACTCCATAAATATATGGAGGATTTCGTCAGGATCTTCTCGGATGTCTCCCCCGTGGACCCTCTGCCTAAGTGTCTCAAATGGATGTCAAGATATGTCCACTGCCTGGGAGGTGTCAAGGGTTTGAAATTGATACAAAAGCTCTTCAAGTTCGTTGGGTAAACACAGTTGAATCTCTGAAAATTGAAGAGCCAGAGACGCTGGATGAAAAATTCTAAAGGGAAACTCCGGTCATGAATAGAACCAAAGTAAATTACCGCTATCGCTCTAAATTCACGAAATATGATCACAGCCGAAATATTTAATCATTATGAACTCCCCCGCTCTGGTAATACCGATATCAAAGATACAACCAAATATACTTTAGCAGACGGCCAGCAGTTTAGCTGTTAGTCAAGCAACACTGGGCTATGACATACCGTCAGTGGTTTGCTTCTTCTGCGAACTACCACCTGCCAACAGTTGTATGGCTGCGAAACCGACCCGCAAACTGCCATACAGCGTATAAAACTCACGCCGCTCAATCGCATAATGCAATGGTATTAACTTCGCTCTTTTACGTATAATATTGATTTTCAGTTGTTAGAGAAGTAGAGACCTTCACCTACCAAGTATTAAACAGTCAAGAGCCCGACGTTTCGAGCCGGATTTGTTTTATCATCAGGTGCGACTATTTGCATATAAAGAGCAGCAGCTTATTTTCATGTACGGTGGTGTCGTTTGCTTCACTCACTTTTTTTCTTCAAGTGCCCTAGTCGCGCGACATACGCCGATGGTGAAGCTACCCAACCAACGGAGTTCCGAAAACATGTCCGAATTTTCATTTTTGCAAGCAAGAAACAAATTTAGGCACGGTGTCAATCTTCTGTGGCATTTCAAAAGAAGTAAGGAGTGCGCATGCACAACTTTCATCGATGCTCAAGGTGTGCGAGCGCACGAGCACCCTTAGCTTCGGCTTTCTTGCCACACAAACTTGAACAAAAGTTTTCGGGACTCCAGCAAGGTTGACGGCAGAGCAGGAAAAGAAAATATAGCTGTGGCTGCCGCTTCACTCGCCAGCCTTCTCGAGCGAATCAGATATTCACAGCGCCTGGTGGTCTTGAAAGAAGCCGTAAAAGTAGGTTCGAAAACACATGATAAAAATCGCCAATATGGATGCAGCCATGCTGCGTGCCTTGCGCCGGCAACTGGAGGTCATACTGAGTGCCAAAGCATCGACATGACGTCTGATGAGCGGTATTGCCATCCCTCTCAGATAGTTTCGGTTTCGCCGCACACACCTAAAAACAAAGTTTGAGATGAGATCTAAATAACTACACACTATATCGAATAACTAAATATACCTTGTAATTCAGGAACACGGTCGTAATACCCCATGTAATAATGACCTGAGTTGCTCTTAAAAAAAAAAAAAAAACTTTAGATATACAGCTTTGCGGAAGTCAGCATTTGTCTGTGCGGCTTGAGGACCAGATTATTACCCAACACCTCAACAAACACACACATACTGCCACGTTTCCATTTCCTGCGTTCAGATCTAGGGTTCTTATGAGACATCTATACGTGCGCCGCTTAAAGGCCGCTTAAAGGCCGCTTAAAGGCTGCTTACAGGCCTTTCAATTACGTACCCTTTATAAACTCTTTCGAGGGAAATATTAAGAGAAATTCTCTCGCATAAAGTCTACAAATATTTTTTTTTTTATAGGCTTATCAACCATCGCTTCTGGGAGTTTCACAGCCGCAGTTATGTGGCGATGCATTCAGCTGCGTCGTTCAATGCATAGGTTCAACAAGTATTTCGGTTGTGGAAACAAATCACAGTAATAAAATCCTTAGGTCCTCAATCTAAAACATAGTCAAACTCATGACTCAGCATCTTTACACTTGAACATTAAAAGTTTATCGATATCGATTAATCAAGTTGTGAATAAGAATAAAATGGATAAAAACACGTCACATATATTTAATTTTCTTCAGCTTTTTGAGGGCGCAGACTTTCATAATTATGATTTTTCTTTGATTAGCCAAGAAATCAATGACCGGCTGGAGACGGGAAAATCAGACATCAATCGGCACTTTCTTGACGGATACCTTGCTAGGATAATGCAGCACCATGCGGAACCTGAGTCAAACTTCAACGGTAGGTATCAATATTTGTGTGTTCAAATTTCAAGAAGAAATAATTGAACGCAGTGGGTATCCAATAACAGTAAATGTTTCTTATTGTATCCAGCCTACTGACGAAAAGCAGTGACGTTCTATTTTTTGGCGAAAAAGACGATAAGCTATCTAATGAATTGTAAACGTTTGCTTTTGAACGCCCTGTACTGATCATTGTATGCTTGTTATAACCGCAACGTTTTCGTTTTCAAGCGTCCCAGTTAAAAATAAAGGTAAAAAAAAAATATTTTTTTAAAAGGGGGAGTTACCCGGAGTCCAGCGTAAGTGGGCACGATAATGTTTCAAGATATTCGCTAATAAATAGCTAATAAATAAAAAAAAATTCGCTAATAGAAATAAAACATTGTTTTGATGCACAAAACTTTGTCAATCCAATGGCCTAGTTAGTCCGAAAACAATAACCGAGCTTCCTACAACGTTCCTGAGACTAGGCATCGAAAAAATCATATTTTACTCGTTCAGTGGGTACATGAATGCGCATTTTTATCACACTACTACTCAAATAATAAACATGGCAATCATTAAAAAAATAGTGGATACAAATATAGTGCTATGTTTGTAACGCGCTGTAGGTTTGTCGAAACATATTGGTTCCCTTTTTTAGTGATGGATACATAACACATGGGCGATTTCATTTTAAGTAATGCAAGAGAAAGGGGTCTTGTCACAAAAACGAAACAAAAAAGTTATATATGCATGGTGGGAAATTGTTTGAATAGAACGAAACTAAAATTGAGTTTTGCGTCATAATTGTAGATTCCGAGTTTTGGACGTCTAAGGACCCAAAGACCAATTTTGGCCTTCGAGCGATCGTCACGGGTCGGGTAATTGGGAGCCTCTCCAAGCTCATCACTTTCCGCACAAGAACCAGACTTTTTACATCGCGTTTAAAACCACATTGAAAGTGCAAGATATTCATAAAGATTTATTGTTGTTGATTTATTTTTATCAAACAAAATCCAGCACCTAGCCTTCTTGACGACGATTAGTTTGCTAGGTTCGAATGATGATGAGTTTTGTAACCATAAATTTTATGACATATTTGACATATCATATAAAGCCTAAACAAATAACTATTCCAAAAGCACATTATCATTATAATCCTATCAGGTTGTCTGGCAAAGAAAAAGAACACCATTGTATAGAGAAGAACATTTCAACAGGACGAATTTCAACATATATTTTGTCCAAAATCCGATATTTAAAATTTTAATTTGTCTTCTATAAAGAGCCCTCGCTATGGTCTAAGACAGGGGTCTCCAAACCTTTTGACTAACAGGCTGGATTAGTCACCTGTCGCGTTCTCGAAGGCCGGGAAGAAAATGGTAATTATAAATAAAGAAACCTAAGTAAAAATTTAAACACCGAAATGAATGTTGGAGTAAGGATTAAAAATACCTACGTTCGATGAATATATATACTTCTATTTTAAGTTGAATATTTAGCTAATTATGATGTTCAAGACCATTTGTGACCACGAAAAGCGACCTAGCAGAAATCAAAGCGCATGGCACCTTGGGCACAGTAGCGCCATGTCAAGGCTAATGAGAACGATAAAACTTAAGCTGACACAACGTGCATAGGAACGCGAGAGAATTTGAATATAGTTACACAAACATAAAGCCGGGCACAAATGATGGTGATACTGGTTATGCCAACGTTCAGTCACGGCGAGACAACCTTGATATAATGCAGTTCGTCTCGTTTTTTTTGTTTTTTTTTTTTGCTTTTTTGTTTTTTCGTATTTAGTGTGGGTCTGCTGGAAGGGGTCGCGGGACGGGGTTCTTTGAAAGGTGCGTGGCCGGCCAAGGGCTAGTTGAAAATTTTCCACGGGGCGAATCTGTCCCGAGGGCGGTGGTTTTGAGATCCATGAGTTAAAAACAACAACTAAAAATCACATGTGACATACGGTTTGGACTTATAAATGCGCAGATTTAAAAATGAAGTTCTGTTTTTTGACGCGAATCTAGGTCGTCGCCATTTCTTCATGCGAGATGGTTCTTTTTTGGCACTTACTTATAGCATTAAATGGCTAAAATTTAACAAGTAAAAATTGCACGTGATGAATACATATAAAGGTTTTTAGGCACACGTCCGCATGTTTACTTTACAAAGTTAAAGAAATCGCAAGTGAAAAACATTTCCATAAATATACCAAATGGAACATTGCTCGAACGTCTGGCAACACTCTGTTCGCTGTAATTTTTGCTGCGTCGAGGTTCTCTGATGTTTGTCAATTTCGTGGCGTTGTCGGTAACAATCGAGGCCTACTGCTCACCGTCATCGATCCTCACCCACACGTGCGAGCTAAGGGTTATTGTTGTTTTACACTCTTCTTGTGCATGTACGTGCTCGTCGCCCCACCGGTTCCTGGTTTCTCACCGCCACCAACATAGCGGACGTACGCTTCAACTCGATATTTGGCTTTGAGCGCAGGCAAGGGCATGCGTACGGGTGCCTGGTTTTCGGAAGCGCTTTCTCTGCGCAAGTGCTTGCGCGAGTGAAGGATTCATCAGAAATACGCTTTCGTGCCCTGGCCTTGCCAGCGCCGAAGCCAACATATGAGACGGAGCATGTGCTCCGGTGCCCCAGTAGATGGCGTTGTGCATTTCCGATATGTTCTATTACGAAAGGAAATTCAACAGCTTATAAATATTGTCCTCTTAAAGTTCTATGCAATGTAACGAGGAACCTGCGAAAAATAAAGAAGATTATTACAAATGTGCCAAAAGGCTTAGCGCGAAATTTCGACTATTTCTAACTGCCGGTTCGCCACGCGCGCTAAGCCTAATGACATGCTGCGCTCGTTTAACTCTTTTTCATTCCTTTCTTGTTTCTTGAAAGAAAGCTCGCATAGACCGTAAGGAAGTAGTGTGCTCCCCAAACATAACGCCCTTGTGACATGGTGCGTTTTGGGCACTTTTTGTGATACTCCGGGGCCTACCGGCCCAACGACGTGGTGTCCCTCTGATTTCGGATTAGAACCGAGCATGGCGAAAACGTTCCAGCTGCTGCGGTGGCTAAATTAGCTTTGATAAACCGAAAATAGACAAATATTTGGATAATCGAGTGGCGGCGCTAAATTTAAAGAGCACTGTCATACGATCAAGTAAAATATCTAATAATTCTAGTTTACAAGAACGTCCATTGCGACCCCAAAGCAACTTTAAAGTGTGTTAAATGTTCACTCTTACGACTCTCCCTACCAAAAAACTGCGTATAATATTTAACTATCTGGATTATGAAACGGGATATTTAACTGGAATTGTTTCTGGGCACCTGGGCACCATCATTATTTCGATGTTTCATTCGCAAGCCGTGTACCAAATGGTGTTGGCAGTACTAAGAGCCTTCTCTTTCGTTTTGCGTCGCAGCAGTACGCCAGATGTACTGCATCACCTTTCGGAAGAAATATTCCAGGCTTCAAGTGTGACTATTTGACCGAAATCCTCAACAGGCTCAGTTGTCTTAAGTCTGTTAATGTGCAGTTGTGCAAGGAGGCATGACGCTTGAGTGGTCTCATCACGCCGCGACACGAACCTGGTAATCCTCGCATGCCGTCACAGCATAGCACGTATCACTCACTACCGCGACGCAGATTCATATATACAGAAAGTGTGGCCATTCGTCGGGATGTGTAGCAAGGTTCTTTGGGGTTAAATATAGACAAGATACACGTGTTCTTCGCTTTTCTTAAAACGTGTATATACAAAAGAAATCAAGAGTGCTAAAAGAATAATGCTAAAAGAAAAGAAGAAAACTTAGTTAAAGCAACGAAAGAAAGGGAAACACAACAGTCACTATGTCTCGGAACAACCGTGCGCAACAGCGGGTCTCGTATCTGGAGATGTCGTTGTCGGGCCCCTGTTGTGGCTGGCAGTCAGGAGCGGGAGCGGTTGGCTTCCGTCAATGATCCAAGAGTCACCGTACTGTGTGCTCTGGCAGTACAAAACCGGGCAGCGTAGATTTCTATCCGTTGCCCTCGCTGGAACAAGGCTGCTGGTCAGACAGCAGGAGCGAGCAACCGATTGCCCTGGCCGATGGTGTCTTTCAGTTCTAGCGCGTTCTCCCGGCCAGTCCTTCGCATACTCTCCGTGCATGCACTCTCCCTCTCTTCTTTTCTTCCTCGTCTTCCCTTCTCCCTCCGAGCAGATCGATGGGTTGACCCACCCTTCTTTTGCACACTGAGTCACATCATCACAAAAAGTCCCCCTTTAAGTTTTTTGTTTTTTTTAAGAATTAAAATAATTTACACACAAAAAAAAACAGAACGAAACCTCGATGATGTGCACAAGTTCATTGCAGGCTACTAAGATAGTCCGCACCCACATTCTCACTGCCTTTAATGTACTCCACGCGAAACGAGTACTCTCGAAGCATCAGACTCCAGCGTAACACTCGCTGTTAAGTTGTTTCGCCTTGTAGACATTGTATAGGATGGTGGTCCGTCTGAACAATAAAATGCGTTCCATACAAATACACATGGAACGTCTCTATTACCCAGACCAATGCCAAATATTCTCGCTCTATCGTCGAGAATCTTGACTTTTAGTCAACAGTCATCTACTGGCAATTGTCAGGAGGTTCATTAGTTTGTGTTAAATTAAGATGGTAAGAGAATCAAAGGCGAGACCAAATCGAATTTCAGCAATTTGTAATCATGAGAAAAGAATCTAATAAAAAATATAGAGTACGATTTAAAAAAAATATATATATAGTTACAACAAAAGTGGCAGTGTCTTGTTTGGTTTGTTCCAATGGGGTGCTACTGTTTATACCTGAGTCTTCGGGTTTTTGTGTTCCGGAAAGAGAATGAAGTTTCGAGGCTCACAGTGCAACTTCGGGTGCCCTGGGTTTCTCGTACTACTTCAGGCCGAAAGGAGCTCCTATTGCCGGGCGGCCATGTCAGCGACTCTCGGGCTTTCCCCGAACGGAGGTTTCTATGGTCCGCTGACTTGG